GAGGGAGTGGCCAGTCAGGAGGGCCCCATGTGGGTATGGATCCAGTGTCCAGTGGGATTGGCTAAGATTTCCGGCGATTGATAAACGCTTCTATGAAAGTAAACCTATTGAGTTATGAGGGGAGGTCACGTGACGGACCTGACCTTACTAAACTCTTGTGAAAACACGACACATACGAACGATAAGAAACCGACAGCTCTTCTTTCTGCCAAGTGTCATCTTTGTGTGAAGGATTTCTTGGCACTGAGTGTTCAGAAATTGCATTGTTTTTGGACTGTGCAGAGGCTCACGAGCGACAACATAGGTCAACAACCTGACTTACCTTAAATATGCAACCTGTACCAGAAGATCCAGCTTGACCAAAAGATTGGACGAGTCAAATTTCGGCTCTTTAGCTTAAAAGAATTTTGAGCTATCTTAAAAACCGTCAGTGTGGCACCATATCGCCCCCGCGCGGTCGGAAGGTAAAAGTTCGCCGGCTCTAACTAAACAAATACGCGTCGCATCGCAAATTCATTGACGGCGTTCGAAGCGTCGTTCAATTTACTTTCGAAACATATCCTAACATTAACATTTAACTGCCTAGCGCAATCTCCAACAAGCAAAAGTTCCGTGCACTCATCCTCATACAGTGTTAGCGGCCGCCGGCCGCCGGCCGCTGACCCACATTCGCGTCATCAGGGAATGCTGCAACTAATTTATTGTTTCCAACTTTTTTCCCGGAGCGTTCTACCTGGTTTATATAGCCTTGATTTATATACACTGTGCTTTGGGCCTTCCTGAGAACCATACATTGTGGAAGGAAGCGAAGGAAATCCTTGCTGTCATAATATTTGGCAGTATTATTTTTAGGCATTTAGTGCGCATTTGCGACGTTTTTGTCTCCGAGAAGGATGCCTAAAAGTTGTTGTGTTGGTTAGACCTGTTTTGTCCATTTTTTTTTCAGGAAAAGGTAAGGAGGGAGCTTTAGCCTGTGCATATAATTCCCTTGTATCCACTTTATTAATGTAGTGGATGCCAAGGCCATCAATGATTATTTATTAACATAATTAATGAGACATTAGGATGCAGGTCAGACAGTTCAAGCTGCCTGATATTTCATTTTCAGTGCATTACCTATAGCATTTATACCAGTGAGATGAGAACATTTTTTCTTGATGCTATGAAAATGTATACCAATATTTCATAGTAGTAGTAAGTAGGTAGTAGGTACTGTTCAGGTGTCTTTAAGCCAGGTGAGAAGGGTGGCTATTAGGGGTGGAATCTGAACAGGGTGCCCATGGCAATGGGGCAATTTGAACAAGAATCAGAATCTTGAAATTTGCTTCACCCATTCACGTGACAATTAACCTGTTAAAGGCACCAAGAGGGAGAATCAGAATATCCCGATAATTACATGACTAAAAAGCCCTCCGGCGGCTGGCGCCCTGTTTTCAGATTTCACTCGACTAGGGGGGAGGCCGCACATTTTGGAGATCGCAACACAAATTGAGGTGATATTATTTTGAAGACACTTTTTAATAGCATTATTTCTAATTCTTGTAGCCTGTAGAATGTAGGATGTTGTGGGTTATTACCTACCTTACGGTAACAGGATTTTTTAGTCTGTGAGGCCTGTGGGACCCGATCTTGGCAAGCTCCTGATGTACTTGATGTTCAGGTAAAGAGGACTAATAAGCCCTGTTGGTCCTGCTCTTGACTTTATAAGTGAACCCAACTGGTCCACTCTCGTGCCATAACTTTACTGGCCACTAGTTGAGTACAGTGAGCTGTTTGTTTGAATTTCGTCAAACCTATTCTTAAATTGGTTTACATTTTGAGAGTCTACCAAGGATTGTGACAGGGCATTCCAACTGTTGACCGTCCTGCTTGAGAAAAAGTGCTGGTGTCTAGCATAGCTCAGTCTGTGTTGTGTTTATTATTTCTTATTAATTCTTGCTTTGTATTATTTGTTTTTTGTAATACATTGGAGATTGTAGTTGTAATTGTGAAATACACCTGCAGGGGTCCTGCCCTGAATGGTCACCTAACAAATGGCATTGTTTGCAGATAAAACCAAAACTGCTCCCAAGGCTCAGTGTCAATACTTCAAGCTCTGAGAGAGCAGAATGGCTACTCGTGGGGTTAGTGAGACTGAGAAACTCCAAAAGAATCTGACAGATCAGCTTGACAGATTGATGTCTCAGCTGCAGGACTTGGAAGATTCAAAGTGAGTAGTTATTACTATGCGAAATCAGTTTGTACAAAACCACACAATGTGTCACGTCTTAATTTATTAGATAGGTTGGTATTTTTCAACTGGATGCTTATAACAGCGTTTCTGTAGCATTTATTTTGCCGGTGATTATTGATCTGGACCGCAATTACAATGATAAGTAATGTGTTTGTGTGAATTACATAATGCCTGTTTGCTTTCTTCAATCAACTGATTGCTCCCTCCATGATCACCTTCAGGGATGACCTTGATGCAGATGAATACAATGAAACCAGACAGGACACCATAGAGCAGCTGAAAGAGTTCCAGCAGAGGCTGAGCAAGTTCAGCGAGGGAGATCTGTCTCTTGTTGACCAGTTTGGAGCCACACAACTGGTAAGTTGGGACGATTCTACCATATGAAGGTATTTTAATGTTATCCTGCATTCAAGTTGTTGTATTCACATAGATCATATCATGGATCCTGGATTATTATCAGTTCCAAAGAGCTTTAAATATTGTGAAGAAAACCTGATTCCATTACATCTCAATTTTGTTCCTACAGGCGATCCAGGCAGCCATAACGGAGGCGTTCCGCACGCCGGAGATAATCGGTCTGTTCGCGCGCCGCCAGCCGGAGGGTCTCCGTCAGCGGCTGTCCCAGCTCGAGCGGGACCACCGGCTGGGCCACCTGGCCGAGGAGAGCTTCAGCCAGCAGAGGGTGAGCCGACGCACCCGTCCCGTGCAGCCACCGGGAGTGTGACCACCGTAACTTCAGAGCAGCTGGCGCCGTTCAAGCTGATTTTGATGATGATCGATTTATGACACTAGATGACCCACTCTGGTATAAAATCTATTTTGTGGAATCGTTCTTCACATTTTCGTGTATTGCTCGCCGTCTAACCGCCGATTGCCCGTCGTCGCGCTCCCTCCCCCTCAGCTGGAGATCTTGTCTGCGCTGAAGAAGCTTGGCGAGCCCCTGACGCCGGAGGAGGTGCACTTCATGACCACCAACACCACCGACGACCTGCGCCAGTTCCTCGAGGACGACATGAACGGTGAGGACGGGAACGGACGGGAAACGTGAACGGTGAGGGCGGGAACATGAATAGTGAGGCAGATCGCCGATTCCCATGCAGTCTGGGCGTCCCCGAAATAACAACGAAATATTAATCAACTAAAATGAACCATCACGAAGGTCGTATTCGCGCAATCAGCTTGCATCGTTGATCCAAATGGTGTGAGGGCTGGTATCGATGCATTCCACCAGTTTCATTAGACCGGAGCTGTGTGCCGCTCTATTGTCGCCTGAGCGCGTGGTGTGACCTGTCCACATGTCGTGTGTTTAACCAGCGTCTCTCCATTGCAGTGTCATCGGAGCGGGTGGTGCGGCTGGCACAATCGGGACTGTCGGGCGGCACGTGAGCAGCCTCCGTCCGACTTCTGAGCTCGTGCCGCGCCGACGGGTCTGGGGCTGCCGAATTCCCACCCTGCCGACCGTTATTAGACGGACGGCACATGCCACCGAGACAGAACGCCAGTCGAGCCTTCACCGACCCACTGAGGAGCGGCGTCGGGGATCGACAGTTCATGGGTACCTAAACCAAGTGCCCAGCCGGTTGGTAAAGCGAGGGTTTGTATGCAATGGCTGCCGCTCTATCCCCATATCGTTCATATTGCGGGGCTTTTTAAATCAGCTGCGTCGGTTATCGATATTCAGATTTAAACAACTCGATGTTCACTATTTATTAACATGAGCTGCAATTAACAGCTGGACGCTGAGCTGAGCGACGAGATGGGTTTTAATTAGGCATTCGCGACGTTACCTGATATTGGAGGCTGTACGTAGGTTCTGTGTGCTAGTGCTCGGCGCCCTGTTCCCGGGCGTTTGTTGACAGTTGATGTGTGTGTGGCTCGCCGCCGGCGAGAGTTGCCAGTTTTACCAGACGGGTGGTCTGCTCGCTCCACGGTATGTACCGCCGGTTCAATACAGTGTTCATTCTGTTTAACTCTCCCCAGTCAGATACCATCCGCATTTAGTACCGGTAATTGTATTTGTCGCCGTCTGGGCTCGGCGGGCCGCGGCAGTCCAGTGTTGTCCCGGCGGGGTCACGGCTGGCGCCCCTTACACATGCAGCGGGTACAGGCACAGCCCACAGCCAGTGATCTGGCTGTGGGCCTTACTGCACCAGGCCAACAGACGAGAACAGCCGACCGACCCAGAACGGAGAAACGCTCTCGCACAAAACAGCGAGCTGTCAGACAACGTAGCGGCCCGGTTAGGCGGAAAGGTTGAGCAGTGCAGAATAGCCGCGCACGATCGTAGGACTCAGGCCTGCCTCTACACAAATATTAACACTGAGGTCCGACACACAGCTCACTGGCTCTGTCAGTTAATGCCTGGGTTACACCAACAACGCGGCTTTGAATCACTATAAATAACGCCACTATTCTACATGAAAATACACGCTTTAAAACTAGGCAGTCACAGCGATTGGAAGCAACAAGCAACAGGAAGCCCTCCCTGCAGTAATGAGAGTTAAATTAATACCGTTAACAGTAACCCGGTTTACATAGGGTTTGTTGCAAGCTTATATCTCCGTCCGTGATGTTGCATAAGATGCCAATGGTGCTTAACAATTTACAAAATGATCCCCTCTAAATATTTGAAGACCACTGCATCGAAATTATCGCCAAATTAACGAGCTAGAGCCTCGTCAAAATATGCTATGTAAACCGGGTTAGTGTGCTGTTAATTTGTTAGCGATCCAAGCCGAACGAACGTGAATAAAACATATTTTTATCGTTTCTGTCAGCATCAATACTATATTCATTTGAACTCGGATTATCTAGTCACGATGAGTACAACTATTTCCGTTGTTTTGCCGAGCATGTGTGTAGCCCAATAAGACCCGATGCACCATCTCGAGGCACTGACGCGGCAGTAGTCTATTCGTTGTCGTCGCGCTATCTCAGGTCCCAGCTGCCCTCTCTGCAGCACAGAGGAGGGACTCACCCCTCCCTCCGCCCCAGTGCCAGTCCTCGCAGAGGTCACGCGTGGCCGGCGTCGCCTCCGGGCATGTCGACGCCGAACTTGCTGTGGTGCGCCGACCGTTTGGCGGCCGTCAGCCGCTCGTGGTGGATGTAGTTTTCACACACGTAACACCATACGGAGAGGTCGGCCAGGCTGAGCACCATGCAGTGGCCGGTGACGGCGCCGTGGTCCAGCATGTGGCACGAGCGGTACCGGCCGCAGCACACCTGGAAATAGACGGGGACGGTCAGATGGCGGTACCGGCCGCAGCACGTCTGAGACACCAGAGGGTGAGTAAATGCTCGAACACAGCGGTACCGTCCACCGGCAGAAAAGGAGCCAGTGGTGAAGAACATTATTCGGTGGTGAAGAACATTATTCTACCGAGTCATCACGGTCCTGATCGTGGACCCGGCGAACAGCTGAGAAACTTAATTGCACCCGACCTTGCGTCGGCACCGAGCTCCACTATACTCATTCAACCCACTGAACCTCCAAACGAAACATCGCCCAGTCACCAGACCCCATGCCTCCCTTCCCTGTCTGTCCAGCTCTAGCCCTCCCGGCCCCACTCGGTTACCTGATAGCAGGTCAGACAGACCCAGTTCTCCTGGCTGTCCAGTACTCCCGGCCCCACTCGGTTACCTGATAGCAGGTCAGGCAGACCCAGTTCTCCTGGCTGTCCCCGCAGTCGGCTCCACTCGGTTACCTGATAGCAGGTCAGGCAGACCCAGTTCTCCTGGCTGTCCCCGCAGTCGGCCCCACTCGGTTACCTGGTAGCAGGTCAGGCAGACCCAGTTCTCCTGGCTGTCCCCGCAGTCGGCGCACGGAGCGGAAGCGTTGATACCTCCGACCGGCAGATCGGCTACCGTGCAGAGGTGGGGACAGTCGAGCAGCGGCACCACCGCGTACATATTCTGAGGGAGACAGAAGGAGAATGGTCAGCGGCACACCGCGTACATGTTCTGCCGGAGGGACTGATAGTGGGCGGTCAGACTGACATACTGACACATCGACACTACACTATGCCACAGCGTGTCCAATAGACACCATGCCACAGCCGGGCCAATTGTGCTAAAAACAGCACGGCTGGTCACATTCAAAATACCGCCCAGTCGATACCAGACGCGAACAAACAGAATTGCACACGCACATACCCAAGTCCAACCCTACTGCGCCGGACTGCTCGTCCCGGGGGCGTCAGTTAGGAGCTGTAACAAGCATAGCTCCATGGAAAGGCGGTGGTTCGAGTCAACACTGCACGAGTCGCTCCCCGGTCGGTGTGACATTTGGGTCGCAGCGCGGTAAATGGGTCACTGGCCAGGAGGGCAGTGGGACTGGGAGCCGGCGGCCAGCAGTTGCGTGACGACCATGTCCAAACAGTGAAACGGCAGGGATTCGGACCGCTCCGTAGATGGCTGCCCGACACGCACGGACGCACGGACAGTGGAAGGGACGATACTGAGGGGTGTCTGCCGAGGGTGTCGCCTCTATTCCGGTGACAGCGGACGGCCCATTCAGCCGCCTGGGAACGCACACCTGAAGCCAACCTATGGAACAAACGTGTCATGAATTATAGTGCATCAGTATTCAGTATTTTCTATTTCTAAAACCTCACTGTCTCTACACGTATGTGTGTACCGATAAAATGTCCAAAACTGAAATCAGTATACCAGGTAAAGGTCTAGCAGTGCATGCAGGCACAAGCTGCAAAGTAGCTATGGAATGCATGTTAATGTTCGGCGGCCTCATTCTCACCGTGTAATGGCTGCCCAATGACCAGTCTGTCGTCGTGGTGAGTGGTCAATGCGGCTCAGTCTGTCCTCGATTGACGTGCCCTGCTCATCGGCGACATTGTGCACTAATTGATACGGCCGACAGCACCGGCCACTAATTGATAGGGGAGTAGTTATTGGGTATCAATGAACAGCGGTGATTAGGGATCTCCGGGCGGTGGCCGATACAGCGCCATATACGTGATGACTGGAGAGTGAAGAGGCCGGGCACCTTGCCGGGGAATCAAGCGAGGACGACTGCGGGCTGATCCAGGGGGTAATATCAGGGAAGGGGCACTTCCATCATAAAGCCTTAGTGCAGCTGAACGGATACGATTAGTGCATTACTGAAGCCGGAGGCAATAAAGCTCGCCACTGAAACTGGTTAACAATATGTCCATGAAGACGACCGAAATAGCGTGTAAAAAATCCCACATCTCGACAAACAGACACCTGGGCCGACGTGCTACCAATGTGGGCTCCACTGTGTCCTGTTATGACTCCATACAGCTGACCTGGTCCTGCCCGGTCAGTCAGCCCGGGGTCGATCCCCGTTAGTGGCCCGGACATCCAGACCTGCCCGGGCCTGACCCAGTCCGCCGGGTCTGACCCAGTCTGCTGGGGTCGCGTCGATCCTCCGCGGTTTGGTCCCGTCAGGCCCCGATCCGGCTCGGGACTGCCCGGGTTGGGCCGATCCCCGGCGGTCCAGTCCCGTCCCGCCCGGGTCCGGGTCGATCCCCGTCGGACCTGGGACCAGTCCAGTCCGGTCCTGGGGCCGTATTCACGTCGACTTCGTAAGTCGATTTTCTTTCGTAAGTATAATTTGGTATTCACGTCGACACTTCTTAAGTTTTTATCGACGGAGTTCACGTGATTAAAAAAAATTACTTAAGAAGTAGGTCAAACTTAAGAAAATTCTTACGAAAATGATCGACGTGAATACGGCCCCGGGTCTGGCTCAGGTCAGCTCGGGTTCGGGTCGATCCCCGGTCCGGTCCAGTCCGGTCACCGGGCAGCCGTGTCCGACCTGCCACAGTGACCGATAGAGCGGACCGATCGACCGACCGACCGACGGGGGGAGGGGGGGGGGGGGCAGGTGACCTCAGCAGCTGACCACCGGCAGTCGGCCGGCGACAGCCGTGCGTGGTGGACAGCGACGGACGGACGGTGGAGGGTCAATGGAGATCGGCGGCGATTTGCCAGGAAAGACGGCAGTGGAGGGCGAACGGTGTCGTGCATTATCGAGTGGACGGTGACCACCGACCGAAGGTAACAGTCCCAGCAAAGACGATCGAGCTAAGCACCAGAGGAGACCCGGTAGACGAGTGGGGTGTGTATGAGGTATGACTGAGGGCAGTCGATGTGATAGTGGGTAGCGAAAAGTCTGCTTATTGTAACCTAGAAGCATCCCCGAAGTCCTGGAGACACTTCACGTCACCAGTGCGTGGAGCCGTCCAAGTATCCGCGGCTGCCTAGGATCGACCACCCAGGCCTCTGACAGCACCACTCATCAATATCCCAGCCTCATCACGATCGCCCGCCGGCCGGCGGGCCGCTGAGCCCCGTGAGCGGGCCCTGGGATGCCGCTGAGCCGGCGGTCGTCCAGTAGCGGCAGTCGTCCCCTCCGGTCCGGCTCGTGTTCGTCGTCCGGCGGCGGCGGCGGTCCGCTGACGTCCTGCACGGTGACGGTGGCGTTCCTGCCGCTGAGCGGTCCGCGCCGGCCGCAGCCGCTGCTGCTCACCCAGGCCGGCCGGGTGGTGTTCTCCGGCCCGGTGCGGCCGCGCCAGCACGTCACGTTCGTCTCGCAGCGCCGGCCGCCGGAGCCGTTCTCGCTGACGGCGCGGCTGGGCGGTGTGACGGCGGCACGGCTGAGCGTCTGCTGCGAGCGCCGGCGGCCGGTGGGCGCGCGGCTGGGCGGCGCCGCCAGCCCGCTGGTGGTGCTGGAGGTCAGCGGCGGCGCCGGGCCCTGCGGCCGCTGCCTGGCCGCCACCGACCGCCGCACCCAGCGCCACCGCAAACAGGTCCGGAAACTCGACAGGAGACTCAAGCGCATCTTCCTGGCGACTCGGATGAAGGTTCTGGCGGCGGGTGCGGGCGGCGCGGAGCCGGCCGGGGCAGACGCCGCGGAGCCGGCCGGGGCAGACGCCGCGGCCGAGGCCGGCAGTGACAGTACGGAGCCCACGGCGGCCACGGCCACCACCTCCGGACACGCCGGCGACTCGGAGCCGTCCCCGCCGGCCAGTCCGACTCTGGCCGACTCCGACTCCGACTCCCAGTCCTCCGGCGCCGAGTCGGAGGTCGGCGAGGAGGAGTCCAGTGACACGGACGAGTCGATACAGACCGAGTCGCAGTCAGAGTCGGAGTCAGAGTCAGTGCGGGAGGTATTACCTGCCTGACGGGCTCCTTCCAGCGGCGGGCTGCCGTCTCACCAGGTGAACATACTCGGGGATCGGATCAGAATCGACCCCTGGGACAGAGAGTGCCACCACCAGCTCCACGAGGAACCTACCCCAGAGCCCCGAGCGTTCAGATCAGAACTTACGGTAATCTTCTTATCCTAGAAGTGTTTGATGCTCAGCCATACACCGGATAAATCTTCAGATGGTGGCCATATGGAGTGCATTACTGGTGTGTACGAATGCGATGCTTTGACGAGGTAGAATGGCTATTGCCTGTTGACGCCGGATTGTTGTGTAAGTACATTGTTTGTTGGAAGAATGTGGTCCGGCTCAGGCTAATTACTTTATCGATCGTTATCCCTCATGTTGGTGATACACAATAACAATGACATGGTTACCTATTGGTTGGCAAATTTACTGCATGGATTATGTAAAACTGCTGCCATTAATCCACAACACGTCAGGAGAGAATGATGCATAACACGATAGTTCAGCAGCAAAACTTAAATAAGCGCGCTGGTTGCTGTTTGATGAAACTTGCCACTGCCAAATTATCCGACCAAAGAACGATGGAATAGAGCACTAAACAATAATACCGCTAAATACCTGCCCCCATCGAAAAAAGGCAGTTACACCGCATCGATTCACCCAGAGTAGCACGGTAATAGTCCATACCATGATACACCCGTTTACCTACTCGATTGGATACGTTACAAACATTTATATGTCTGTCTGATATAAGGTATGTGATTTCATCTGGCACCGATAAAAACAAGGGTACAAATGAACTATCGGAGGCAAGCAATGTCCAACCGATGAGCAGCTGGCCAAGTAAAAAATAAATTCACGTTCGGTGCCAATTCGCAGTCTGATTGATCTCATCGACCTGTGACCATACCTGTCAGAATCGAAGAAAGAATCACGCAATGCGAAGCCGCAGAATAGAGCAGGAAGGACGGGACGAGGCAGCAACAGCGACAGTCTTCATCAACGGTATTTCTCAAATGTCGAGAGCTTAGGAGCTACATACTTCAGGCAGCAGAGATATTGAAATGTCTTCGAAAATCGAAATTAATTTAGGATTTTATCGGTCAAAGCAATATAATTCACAATGCAATAGCAACCAGGAGTGGACAGATGCATTCCAAAGTTGACCACCTAAATATTGAAATTGGGGGCAATATAATTCACTGGTCTAATGTGACGCATTTCTACAATGAAGGCGAAAACGGTATATGGTGTATGTTAACCAAGCTGACGTCAGCTGGCAACAGAGCTAAAGATTGGAAGCTCCCAATATAAAATAGGGACCTACTGGTAAAAACGAGCAGCACCAATCAGCGCTTCTTTCACTGAAAGATTTTAGTTGTCGGAGCTCCCCGTCGAAATCGAAAGCCGCCCAGGTAACACGTGCAGCGCGAAACGCTACACAACATAAAAAAACTGGGCTAATGAGACTACCTGGATAATCATGGGCACGCTGAGAACTATAATTTACAGATAAACGCAGCGACACATTTCACCACGTCAAGTATCGGACATACCACTATATCCCCCCCCCCCCCTCTCCACTGAGACAGCCCCCCGGCTCCACTGACCTGATTGGAGATCTCCTCGAGCACCAGAAACTGCTGCAGAGCGGCGTCTCCGGCGGCGAGCGCGGCGGCCACGGCTCCCTGCTCCGACAGACCGGAGGCCTCAGCCGCCCGCTCTGCCCAGGCCGACTTCACGGTGGCCGGCGGCGCGGCCGCCTTTTCCGCCTGTCCTTCCGCTGGTGTAGCGTCCTTTCCGGGCTGACCCTTCTCTGGCGGGGTAGCCTTCTCGCCCTCGCCAGCGGGACCAGTAACCGGCTTGGCATCCCTCTCGGGAGATCCCTCCACGGCCAGGTCGCCGGCGGCCGCCGCTGTCTCAGGGACCGCGGCCGCCGCTCCTGTGCCCTGGTCTTCAGCCAGCGTCAAACGGTCCACCAGACGCTCCAGCGGCTCCGGCTCCGGCTGCAGTTCAGGCTGTGGTTCCGGCTCCGGCTCCGGCTCCATCTTTGGCTCCGGCTCCGGCTGTGCTTTTGTCTCCGGCTCCGGCTCCGGCTGCCAGGCTGTCCGCGGCAGCACCGGCGGCCCGTCCTTCTCCGCCTCCTCTGCGGCAGCGGTGGTCGGCTCGGCGGTGACAGCGGCGTCTCCCCGCTGTTCTATGATGCGCCGCACCACGTCCAGCGGCTCCTTGGCCAGTCGGTACGGCTCGGCCACGGCCGGCCAGAACGGCCGCTGACTGTGCGCCACCGAGCACAGCGTGCGCGCCGCGCTCTCGTTGACGGCCGGCAGCGGCGGCAACTGCACGGCCGGGTCACCCAGCAGCGCGCGCGCACACATGGCCATGCTGTAGGAGATGCTGGTCAGGTTGTAGCCGCCCTCGAGCGCCACCACCACGCGCCCGCCGGCCAGCGCGGTCAGGTGGTGGGTCAGGTGGCCGTACACCTCCGGAGGGACCAGGTAGCCGCCCAGCGGGTCGCCGCGCGCCGCGTCAAACCCAGCGGAGACGAGCACCAGCTCGGGGCTGAACTGGTAGCCCACGGGGAGCACGACGGTCAGCAGGGCGGCCAGGTACTCGGCGGCGCCCATGCGCGCCCGGTTCCAGGGCACGTTCACGTTGAACCCGGCGCCGGGCCCGCTCCCCACCCGGTCGTGGTCGCCGTCGTCCGACATTGGGAAGAAGAAGCCGAAGTCGTGCCGGTGTAGCGACATGTACAGCACGTCGCTGTCCTCGTAGAACATGTGCTGGATGCCTGCCGGCACGGGAAGGAAACAGTTACGATCCATGATCGTTAAAAATACTCCTGTAAGACTCAGACAGACTGAAGATGTGTAAGCTGTTAGCACGGAGGTGTTATGCGAGACCTGACTGCCTTCATGCGGAAAGTAACAAAGAGGCCAGCATGAAACCAAACACGCCATTTTGATGAAAAATTAATGACTTATTCTGCAGAGCACAAAGTAGTTTGGGGCGTGTCTTCGCCGTCCTACGGGCCAACTCTTATAGATCAGCCAGCATATTCTAAGAATCCAGCAAATTTTCCAAGACTATTAAGGTGATAATCCATAAAATAACCTGACTGTCGGGTGACTCGCGTGACCCATCTGTCGACCATTCCCGAAATGTGTCACACCCATCGACCAGTCTGCAAAAGTTCCGCGCAGACGGGATCGAACCGATAACAGCCCGATTATGTAAGATGCGGCAGTCCCTGAAATAAATAATACTCTACACAATTCATGGACGATGCACTCCAACATACTTATTAACCCGCGCCCCACTGGGGTCTGCGTATAACACGCCCTACTGGGGGGGGGGGGGCTATTCATAGCCCCCCCTCCTAACTCCGAAACTACTGGGCCGATTGTCAAAATTCAAACGGCGTCTGATAGCCCCGGAAAAACTGTCGAGCGAAACCTAATTTCATTGACCTCGAGGTCACCGATGACGTCACAGGTCAGGTCAAAGTAAAAATTATTAGCATTTTGGCTTCTTCACGTTTTGGGCTCTGGCCGCCGTCTTACAAGTCAGATCAGGCTCATTTTTGGTTCACACACTCGTGAACAGATGCTCTAGATACTCTGAGGGTACCAAACTTGTACTTTGATTTTCAGGTCAAGGTCAGGTCATCACAGGTCACGAAAATATTATATCATCCGTCGGTCACGTGACACATGTTTTACGGTCCATTTAGGCCAAACACTTCGAATTTGATGTCGTCTGTGTCATTCGAGGTCATTTTGAGTCAAATTTAGCTCAGGTCAGGTCACTTTCAGGTCAAAAAAGGTCAAATTTTGAAGTTAAAATTTTTCAACAAATAAGGTGTCTATTGGATGCAGTTTGAGCTCAGGAACACGATGGTGCTATTTATATTGGCGTACGATGTCAAATTCGTGCTGAAAAATTGATTTGAAAAATTAATAATTGTTAATTTTTTGCAATAATGCGTATAACTTGGCCATTTTTGGAGATATTTAGCTAAAACTTGCTAGAGTTAGTCATAATAATGCGTTCTATCACATATATTCCGGTTTTTTCGAAAAGTCAAAAAGTTTTTGAAAAAAATGTAAAAATACAAATTTTGAATTTTATTATATAAAATTTTCGAAATTTTCAAAATTTCGAAAATCCGAGATAGCAGTTTGATAGCTCAGTCTATTCTGAGTCCTCTCATGCAAAGAAATTGGATCTAGCTTAAAAACTGAGCTCTTGGGAGCGATTGCCGTGGTTCACTGTTTTGCGTCGAAATCGGCCGAACATGACGTCACTCTGACGTCATTTCCGGCCGACCTATGGTAGGTACGAAGTTCAAATTTTGACACAAGGTGTCAAATTGATGCAGCCGAAGGTACTGAAAGTTTGGCGTCGATACGTCAAGCGGTTCGGAAGTTATTGCAGAAAAACGGGAGGGGGGCTATAAATAGCCCCCCCCAGTGGGGCGCGGGTTAATCCGCCAGCCGCTCCCCTTCTATGAAATCCTTCGCCGTTTTCAGCTCAACGTCCAAGACTGCACTATCGGCTCGCTAGTTTTGACAGGCACTTTTCTCACCTCAACATCGAGAAAACGAGCAGTCACATCAAAGCTGAATGTTCTCGTACTTATACCATTGCTCGCAAATAACACCGACCCCGTCCAAACTAACAATAACCGGATTGGTGATATGATCCCGTTTCCCCACTGTTTCTGTTCCTCATCGTAGCCGTACAACCACTGTTTCCGTGTCTCACCGTGTCCGTGATGGACGTTGTTTCCATGTGTTCCCGTCTCTCACCGTTTCCTACGTGGATTAGACGCCCCCCGTTTTCCCACTGTTTCCGTGTCTCACCGTTTCCGTGGTGGACCTTTCCCCACTGTTTCCGATTCTCACCGTTGCCGTGGTGGACGTCCCAGTCGAGTATCATCACCCGGCGCAGGCCGTGCGCGCTGACGGCGTGCCGCGCCGCCACCGCCACGTTATTGAACAGGCAGAAGCCGTGAGGGGTGTCCGGCTCGGCGTGGTGACCCGGCGGCCGGACCACGCACAGACCTGAGCCGCTCTCACCGGAGAGCACACTGTCCACCGCCTGAAACAGAGGGGTACGACTAGAAACAGACCGGAGCCGCTCTCCAACACAGAACCGAGCCGCTCTCACCGGACAAAGCGGTGTCCACCGCCTGAAACGGGAGATAGGGCGATAAGAGTAAGACCCCTATAACTATATGGCCTTGGTAAGACCACAGTCAGCCAGTCACTAACTACATAAGATTACAGGACACAACAGGTCATAATAACCAAGACAGCTGGCGGCTTTAGGTCGCTAGATTCGAAATCATGCCAAGCAAACGGTCAACATCGGTCACCAAATATGTCTCCATGTCGTTTCGGGTTCCCCATAGTCACCTCCTCCGCCTCTCTCACCTCCACCACACAGCCGGCCGCCAGCAGTGCGCAGTCGTAGCTCTCCGGGCAGAGGAACACGGAGTTGAACCGGTCGGCCAGACGGTCCAGCTCCGACTGGGAGAGCTGCTCGGTGTCGGACAGCGCGGCCACGTGCGCCGGCTCGTGCGGGGGCACCAGCTGCTCGGGAGCAGCGCGCAGCTGGCCGGGGGTGCGCAGACAGCGGTCCGACAGGCCCCAGGCGCTCAGCCGCGTCAGGATCGACTGCAGACGCGCCGGACGCTCCGGGTGGTCACTGCGAGGGAAGGAGAGACGGTCAGTGGGCGGTCACAGGTCACTCACTGGTTGGTGAACGGAACGACAAATGACAGGACGTACGCTGTAGAGAATAAAAGGGAAAGAAAAAAGTAAAATACCTGTTTGTTTGCTTTTTTATGGGCTTTAGGGACATTGAGTAAACACGTCATTAACAAACATGTCATTAATATATGTCAAATTTAACAGAGCCGTTGAAAGTCGGTAACGATTGTACCGCGCTAATCGGGCTTTTATCCACGCCCCAGATTAGCGTGTTGGCGTGCCACTCACGGGTCGTCGACGTTGCGGTGTCGCATCATGTCCTCGTTGGTGGCCAGACAGACGCGGTGGGCCGGCGGCAGCGGCCGAGACACTGAAACACAACCAAATGACACACTGCGTGACGATGGACTACGTCCGCGGCGGGAGGGGTGGGGTCACCGTTCCGTGCTTCTATCCTCAGGATACTGAAATCCTTCTCCTCCACGCCGCAACCCTCTCTGGGCTGGACAGGCAACTTTATCTCATGCGGGCTGCTCCCTTGGAGCGGCACCGCTGCTCCCCAGGGAGCGCACCCCGTAGCCGGGTGCAGTGAGTGCCTTGGGGCTGGGTGGCCTGTCCTCTGGACGGGCTCAGCCCCGGCGACTCACTAGGGTGCCTGCCCAGACCAATGTCTCCCCCTATATCCTATTATCCTCCCGGCTCTGAAATGGTCTAATTGGACCGAAAGGGCCTAACCCAACAAAACAACAAAACAAAGGGGTGGGGTGGGTTTAGTACAAACTTAAGCTAACTCGTCCAAAATTTGTCGATTTGACTTACTACCACCCTGTTACCCTGTACTTGAGTGTCTAGCAAGGACGACAGACAGGGAACACTTTTGCGATACCTATATTTCAAGAGTCCTTTTCAACGAAACCCAAAAATTTATTTATCTATTCCCTGAATAACAAACATTTGTTTTAGTGGATTCTTCAATCTGTCTCCATTTAGAAAGCGGTTCGTTACCTATGTTTTCAGGATCGCAGCAACTACAAACCTAAAAACGAGCAAACAAACTATTAGCACCCATACAAGTTACAACATTTCACACCTTTGTTTTATTCGCCCGGCCTTTCCAATCCAATCACTAGCAATCAATCGCCATTCGCCAGCATTGTTTGTGACGCAAGTGCGGACGGAGCGAGCGAGCGCTGTGTGGTGCCGCCGATGGGGAGGCGCCGCGCGCGCACGGCGGGCAGCTGACGCTCCGCACACGGCCCGCCGGCCACTAGCTGCCCATAACTCCGCCCACCGCTCCACTGACGTCACGGCACCGCACAGCTGGCGGCCCGGCGCGTTATGTGCACCTACTGCGGTCGGAGAAAGGGAGACACGGCCGGTGGCACTTGCTTCCAACTTTCCGCCAACTCTGCGACTTGCTGCGACACCGGGGTAGCACCGTAGCAGTGGGCTGGATGGGCGGCGGCAGATCGCGCTGGTGTTGCGTTATGAGGAGACCCGACCACACTTATGTAGTTTTAGAATCAGGACGTGGTGGAAGGACCATTGAGCATGAGTGTGTGGATAAAATGAGCTTGTAATGTAAAAACGAAAATACAAATTTCAAATTCGTGTTTTTAAAATTCCCCCGGCTCACCAGGCCCCTGGGGGACCAACGACAACCTGGAGGAGGGTCGGATCCGACCCTTTGTTATCTCGAGAACCAATGGTCCTATAGAGACCCGCGAGGCGGCGTTTGAAAGCTCTCCACGAGATCTTCCCAAAGCATTCTCAAGATTTCAGGATTGATATCATCTTTCGGGTCAATATCAGGTCCAGGATCAGGCCAAAGGTCGAATTGGGGTATTCGCACGGCATGGCTTGAATGGTGGAATAAGTAAGTTTCTGCCCGAAACTAAGCCAAAGTGACCTTAAATACTTTGTAAAGGTGCCTTGTTAGCATAAGTGTCATACGAAGGGTCAAGGTCAAGGTCAGGTCATGAAAGGTCACTTTGAGACAACTCATCGACGAGAGTTGTCATGCTTCTTTGGAGTTGAGTGACAGATTTTCGCGCTTATTTTGATGGTAGTCGTTGTTCAGCATCCTGACCTTAGTTGCAGAAGCATAAATCAAGCTCAATGTCACGTCAGGTCAGATCAGGTCACGAAAGGTCACCTTATGCTACGTGGGTATGCGACATAATAAAACGTAGAAGTTATTTTTCACGCCGGATCCGACGGTATGACCTCACTTACGACTTATATGACTGACATGAGACTGCTACCTAACCTCTCACGATATTACGAGTACATTCCATCCCCCGCTCCCCGCCCGTCACTCACCGAGCAGCAGTCTGTTGAGCCGCTCCAGGGCGTCCGGCGGCGGCTCGGGGTTGGGCCCCACCGGGCGGGGCGGCCGCGCCGGCGGCGGCCAGTGGCAGTCGGGCGCCGACACAGCCCACTCGTCAGCAGAGGCCGAGAAGGTGCCGTGCCGGCCCAGGAACGGGGAGGTGGCCCGGTGGGCGCACATCACGTGCCGGATGGTGGTCGACACGCTGACGGAGGGGTGCGGGCGGAGATAGTGGTCAGGGTAGGCTGGTAAGAAGCGATCACTGCAGGTCAGGTGTGCGTGGGCAACTTCTAGCTTTAACCGTCCACAAGTCGGTAAAGGGCGGTCCACCAGTCGCTGAGCCACTTCAACTGAGTCCAATGGTCAATGCAACCAGCGATAACAAATGGAAGTTCGGTAGTCACCGCAACCAGCCGTAAAAATGACTCGGCCAACACAGAAACGCATGGAGCGCAAACTAATTAACCTACGGACAGAATGCATCCGGATCCAGAATCTCGTCCTCAGTCCGTTCCTCTCCCAGTCACATGAGCATCCATCCCCAGCCCCGTCTGCCCTCCCACCTCTCCGACGGCGGCGGCAGGCTGGCCGGCAGCGGCGGCGGCGGCTCCCCGAGCAGAGTGGCCAGTGTGTGCGCGGCGGCGGCGGCCAGCGCCGGCCGGCAGTAGCCGCCCTCCAGAACGGCCACCAGCCGACCGGCCGAGAGCGCCAGCAGCGCGTGCGTCAGGTGCGCGAAACACGCCGGCGTCACCGCCATGCAGCCCTGCCGGCGGATAGACGGCGGGGACGGGCGGACGGCGGTCAGAGACGGACGGTGGTTAGAACAGAAACATCATACACAGAAGCATAGACATTATTGATACTTGTGAAGCAAACAGATGCCTCAGATATTGTACGGACAAAATGCGTTAGCAGATGGTGTAAGAACATATTAACAGGTGTTAAAACATGTTAACAAACTTAGAATCATCTTGGAAGGTTCGCCAAAGAGACTCACCTTAGGATCTCCTAGCGCCATGTCGAATCCAGCGGACACGATCACCAGGTCCGGTGCGAACTGAAACACGGAAACGCCGTCAGCTCGTGGACATTGGACAAAATATCACAATTAAACATAATCTGTTCTACAGTACCTTACCACTCCCCACTCTGACCTGACATTATCCATCCCTCTGTCTAGAACCCCACTCTAACCTGATAGGCGGCCGGCAGCAGGAGCCGGTGCCACACGGCCATCAGGTCCGAGTCGGTCGCACTCCCGTCCAGCGGTACGTTCCAGTTGAGCCCGGCGCCGGCGCCGGCCCCGCTCCGCTCCCAGTGGCCGGCGCCGCCGCCCGGCCAGTACGCGCCGCCGTCGTACCGGTGCACCGAGAAATACAGCACACTGCCGGCGGGTGGAGTCAAGATAACTTTACTAAGTGGAACGCCGTTAGACAGACGGAGAACCCAAGGGAACCGTAAGGCGGCAGAAGGGGAGCCAGACTGCCGTCGTACCGGTGCACCGAGAAATACAGCACGCTGCCCGAGGACGGAACGGCTTAGGCCGACGGAAAAAGGACACATGCGGGACAAAACACGGCAGCAGACGAGGAGCTCAAGGAAAATACAGTGAGAAACAAAAATACTGACGCAGTATAAACCAAAGAATATGAGCAAAAAAAAATATAATAAGCCAATTCGGCCAAAGGCACCGACTTCTCCCGGAAACTGGAAGCCAAATATATTTCACACCCCGTCCCCTTCAACTTTCCCCGAACGTAACCGCCCAGCCTCCCTCTCTACGGTCTCCAGAGGTAGGGCCTCGCCCGCTACTGACCTCTGGTCAAAGTAGAACATCTCCTGCGTGCCCTGGCCGTGGTGCACGTCCCAGTCGACGATCAGCACCCGTTTGCCGCGGTTAGCCGCGTGACGCGCCGCCAGTGCCACGTTGTTGAAGAAGCAGTACCCGCTGAATTCGTCCGGCTCAGCGTGGTGGCCCGGCGGCCTGAGGTCATAGGTCACAGGTCACAGGTCAGGTCAGAAGCCGTATCTGCTGAACTCGTCCGGCTCGGCGTGGTGACCCGGGGGTCTGAGGCCAGGTCACACAGGTCACAGGTCAGGTCAGAAGCCGTATCTGCTGAACTCGTCCGGCTCGGCGTGGTGACCCGGCGGTCTGAGGAAGCAGGTCAGGCCACAGGTCAGGTCAGGTCAGAAGCAGTACCCGCTGAACTCGTCCGGCTCGGCGTGGTGACCCGGCGGCCTGAGTGGGGTCAGAGGTCAGAGTCAGGGCATAGGTAGGTTAAAGGTAAGCTCATAGCGAGGTCAGTAACTGCTGTGCATCCTACAGTTCCCAGTACACGTTCACTAGAGGCTCATCGATACCCGCTCACTCTCCGTGCAAGGGGCACGTCCTTCCGCAAAGATCATACTCCGACCGCCCTGTCTGCCTTTTGAACAAGATAATATGAGCACTTTCGACGAAGCACATACTGACACCGTCCGCGAGGCCGACTCTCACCTGACGATGGCGAACCCGTTCTGCAGTTTTCCGTCCAGGACCTGATCGGTCAGTTCCAGGGCAGAGCCGGCCGCCAGCGCGGCGCACTGGAACGTCGCCTGGGAAGGATACCGCAGAGGGACACGGTCACTGGCGAGATACTGGAATGCTTATTGCTTATGAGCTACTGGAGCTTCCATAGAACGGCGTCTAGGACAAAATAACAAACAATTGGTACAACGCAACTTCGAGGGACGTCGTCCCACACAGACTACCTATTTGGACAATAAGATTAAAGGTAGCTGCATTTCCTTCATTGACAAGAGGCGGGCGGGCGGACTGTGCGTTCCAGAGCCGCCAATGAACGGGCAGACCGTGCGCCTGCACTGACCGGGTGGAGGTAGACTGAGTGGCGCTCACCAGCCCCCACTGACCGGGTGATCGCGCGCAGCGGACCCCGTGTACTGACCGGGTGGAGGTACACCGAGTCGTGTTAACCGCCTCCCCCCCCCCCCCCCCCCACTGACCGGGTGGAGGTACACTGAGTCGTGTTTGTCGGCCTCCTGGCGGAGCTGCTGTGGCTCTCCCCGCTCGCAGAGCTGGCGCAGCCTCTGGATGTGCTCCGGGCTGTGACAGAGCTGCAGTTCCTCCTCCGTGGCGGGCCGGGCCGGGACGCGCTGGCAGCGGTCCACCAGACCCAGCTGGGAACACCTGGACACGGAACAAGTACGCTGGTTACACCCACTTCGGCAGGACCAGTTGGGACTGCATGGAGCACCTGAGGTATGGACTTTGATTACTTATACCTCGCGGGAAAAAAACGTCAGGTCCGGCACAACGCAGTCTGCGGAACGAGTATCGAGTCTGACTTTGAAAATCCATCTATTACAAATATTCGAACTTAATCCCCAACAACCAAATTGTAAACTAATATGACATCAAGCACTACGTGAGCCAGCTGACTAGTGATGACAGTTCATAGCGTAGAATAGATACCCGCGACCGTTATCCTCACTTGTCAAAGATGACCTGCAGCCTGTCGGGTCCCTCTGGGAAGTCGTCGTCCCAGAGGCAGCGGTGTTTCAGCATCCGCTCATCATACATCAGACCGGTGGCGCCGCGACGCACCTCGGCCGCCGCGTCACACTGAACGCACGAGAACAGTTAATGGCAGCGGGATACGCCAGTGGGGCACAGAGAACGATACAGCGGGTATTAGCGGAACGATACAGCGGGTAATTCAGGCTGGACGGGATGATACAGCGGGGATACAGGGGTGATGCTAGCTGTGCTGAATGATACTTTTTTTTCAAGTTTATTGAACATCATCTTCAATATTACGAAATATACAAAGCAGTAGACGGAGACGTTGGCCCCCGCCCGCGCCGCCTCGCACCCACGCGCGTCTTTCACGCGAGGCGGCGCCCCCTGACCACCGGCCCGCCCCACGGGCCACAGACGGTCCGAGGGACGGGCCGGCGGCCCGGCCTGCCCAGCATATGCTGGGGGGCCGGGCACGGGTTGGCCCGGATGGGGTAGGGCGGGGGCCACAAATCGCACGAGGCGACGCTAACTCAATAATCACACATCAGAGCCAAGAGGTGCCACCCCTGGCCACATAGCCTCTTGGCAAGCGACAAGATCTCGAGTCCTCCAACCCCACCTCTCCCCCTCCCTACCCTCATTTACTAAACGGCACTCTGTACATTCAGCTAAATACATCATCTATGGATATTTCAAATATAGTTGAGTGGTCCCTGTCCACTACAAATTTCCACCTCTCTCTAAATTTTTCTAACGAATTTTTGTTTTTTTGCAATTACTTCTTCTGCACGACAATGGTTTATGATCCCTCCTATTGCCCCGTTTAATGACGGTCTAATGTAATCTTCTCTTAACTTACATGATGTTATATATTGTTTGCAGAGCAATAGTATCAAATTTACTACATCAGGGGCTTGTGTATATGATATGTGCTGAATGATACTGCTGGCACCACGTTGCGCGTAAATGAAGTCGATAACGTAAAGTTTATCACGTGCGAGTCCCAAACCCGGCAGGTCGCAGGACAGCGCCACTCACCGGTGCCAGAGGATCGAACACGGCAGCCTTAGGACTGGCACCTGCAGCTGCCGCCGCCGCCGCCGCCGCCGCCTTCTTCTGTTTACGCAGCTGCTGCACGTTGATGCGCGGCTGAGCGGTCGCCGTCGGTGTCAGGCGCGGACTGCGGCGGGGCCGCGACTCCGCGCCGCCGCCGGACGGGGTCCGCCCCCCTCCGCGGGATGTCATGGTGGTGCACCTGAATAAATAAAATACACACATGTGACCTGATTAAACCAAGTGATTAAACCGATAAGGCACCTGAAGTGCCTTATCGGGACAGATACTAGATGGTGATTGGCGTAACTTGCTCTTGAAAAGTGCAAGTCAGTCAGTTGGGAAAACTGCGAGGCGCCAAACTAAAATTGGATCAACCAATCAACGGCTGGAGTGGGCAAGGCGATGGCCATATATGAGCAAAAAATCAGATAACTTCATTTTTCCATGCATCCTAGCCAGTAGCGGCAGAACACCTTCAATTAAGGGGGGCACTGCCGACTTTCGGTCCCATTCTTTCCATGCAACGCCCATAGGACTTATGTTAAAATGCCCAAATCAAAGGGGGGCACGGTGCCCTCCCCATTCCGCCGCCTACGATCCTAGCATTCAAATAAAAAAATAAGGCATAATAATGTTCTTTAACCACACAAAGTCTAAACTAACTCAGTGCACAATTAACTGGCAGCTCTAAATCGCAGAGTTACAATACAAGGTAAAACAGTGATTGGCAAATATCGCAGATTGAAACAGACGCGCCAAAAAATGTAAGCAGCATCATGGTTTTAAAATGTCATTATTTCTATTATTTTGTATAAGGTTTTTCCAATTGTGGTTCAATAATAATTTGTAATTCAACTATCTTTATTTATTGTAATGAAATTAAATCTTTTAACAATCTTCTTTCAAAATACCAATCCATTTATGGAATGGCCAGCTGATTGTGATGCCCGGAACCTGCAGAAAAGCCATTTTTCTATCGCCACTTTCGCGTAAATTCGCCAACTTTGATCAAATCACGTTGATTCCTAGTGGAAAATGGAAGCCTTTTCTCTACGATGTGGACGTGATACCGCAAGTACCTGTGCGTTATACCGTTTTTCACCCTTAGAAGCGAGGACTGCATTTATGCCCATACATGGTCATCGAAAGTCTATTTATTGACCGATCCATTTTTGGATCTTCGCCTCGTAGTTTCCCCGACTGAAGTCCCCAACTCAAACTGAAGTGGTGGTCGCTGGTGGGTACTGGGTCTTGCCGGCTTGCCCCTTCACTTTGGTGGAGATTTCACATCAAATAATATATTTTCTAAGCTGATGTATGGTTGACAGCGCCGTTGGTTTTAACGTATACGGATAAAACAAAAATATAACTAATAAAATCATTACCACCCGGCACCCACCTTAAAATACAATAAAACAAAATATCAACCAAATCAACAAGGCCGATCGTCAAACTTGAACTCGCTTTGCGTATAATCGGTGTTTTGGACCTTTGTTATCGCCGAGTTACATAAAGGTAGCCATGGCAAATTGCTTAGGTTTTCCAAAAGTTTGGATAATCGCTGTAAATTGCCTAGCAACACCAGTGTTTTTCGTTTTCGAGCGCGATAGTGAACAGAAAGGGTAACGTTTTGAGTTTTGACGCACACTATACAATCACTGACGCAAACAGTTAAATGGAGCGTGACTACGAAATTGTGTGCGCCCCAAATACTGTAAAAATTGCCAAGCCGAACTTTTGAACTTCTCCCATGACAACCCTCGCTATGTAAAGCGAATGCCAAATTATACATTAAGATTTTTTGTTGCGTTACTTTTCCACTGATCCATCCTTGGACTCAATAGGATGGATCAGGATCATGGATCATTGGGCCTGTACTCAAGTACAGGCCCAATCGCCGACGGGCGTGGTCAGGTCCTTTGACCGCTGCATTCGTCACTCGTTCCAACATCCAACCTGATAAATCCTACAACAAGACTCGAGGGTATATGGCATACATATATTTCAGAACCCTTTGTTTCACATTTACACATAAACAGCTTATGTGCACACGAACGTAAGTCGACAAATCAAATAACCGAGTTTGAACTCCCGCGGAGGGGATACCCGAGAAACGGCCGATTGTCAACTCCCCTCCCCCGCATCGGCCGGTAATCCCCAATCGAGCACCAAACCTATCATCAAGTGCGCCCTAACATCCGCAAAATACGATTTTGAAACTAAATTATAATCCCTAGCTTCTCTGATGCCCTCCCCTAGCGGTGCATGTCACAGCGGATTGCAGTAGGTCATGAGCTTCTGCCAGCGGTGGAGGCCGCCGGCACTTTGCGAGTCGGTTTGTACAGCCACTGTGGGGACCAGGCGGCTAAGTGGCGCCCGGCACACAGACATACCCGCACACACAAACTCACACTCCCGACCCTACTACCACCGAGCCAAGGCACCGCCACCGCGCCGTCCCGCACGCGGCACTGTTAGTGTTTATCACCGGACCGGACCGGACCTGGGTCCCAGATCGGTCCCTCCTCCCGGCACGGCCCCGGGACCGGCCGGCCGGCGCGCAGTCGGTCCCACGCTCAGACGGTGGACTGGGACCGGCGCGGTATCTCACCATCGAGTCGTTCTCCGGCTACCGCGGCGCTTCGGACGAGGCGCGTAAATGCATACGAGGTAGCGAGCCGCCCCCGCCGTGGGGGAGCGCTCCCCGCCGACCGGCCGTCCCGGGCCGCTGGACAGCCATATCACAGGCGCGCCGCGCCGCCCGCCGGCACACGCGGCACTCAGTTAAAGTGGAACTTGAAGTGGAACGGCCCGCCGCCGTGGCCGCCGTGAAAACCGTGAAAGCCCTGCTCGAACGGGTTGAAGCCGCGTCCCGCCTCCGACTCCGGGTCGAGCGGGTCCTCGCCGGCGTCGAATTTACGCCGCTTGTCTGCCGGGCAGACGGAGCGGGTCAGACGAGGTCAGGGGAGGTCAAACGGGGCAGACGTGGTCAGCTAGGTTTGGAGCAACAGTGTCACATTTCAGAGCTCTGACAAATAACGTCGAGTGCCGGACCCGAAAGAAACTGAAGCGAAACTTAAATAGTCAATAATTGGCCAGGCACTGCACCTACGTGCGACTGCTCTTCTCCTCCATGCATCTGATTCCCCGTCTTTGTTCTTACCGGGATCGGAGAGCACCTCCTTGGCTGCCGCGATGTCGATAAACATGGCCTCCGCCTTCTTCTTGTCCTTCTCGTCGCCGGTCGCAAAGTTGTCCGGGTGCCACTGCTGAGCCAGTTTCCTGCACAGCAGACAGCGACGCTCCGTTACATACATGCCGACAAAATACGACAGATAGTACAGACGTAGGGTATACCAGATAAAATGCATCAGTCACAAAACAATGTTATGGTTTGGTGGAAAAAGAAAAGAAGCAACAATGGCAAAGGTGGACAAAGGAGCTTCACGTAATCCTATCACAGGAAATGTTTGGAACATACCAGGTGCTCTTACAATGACCCTTGCTGCCGAGGGGAGCATGACACCGTAGTAACAACGATACCAATGGAAGATACCTTATCACGTTAGGCTACCATCAATTACCTGTACGCCTTGTTAATCTCTTTCTTCGATGCTGTCTTCTTAACACCGAGGATTTTGTAGTAGTCCCTCTTCTTTTTTAGTTTCTGTTTCTTCTGTGCCTTTCCGAGGCCTTCCTTAGCCCTCTGATATCCTTCGTCCATCTCCAGCGCCTGGTAAGGCACGACGGGGAGCCCACCCAGTCAGTGCGGTCTTTCGGCAGAGTGTCTACCGACGGGAGGTCAGTATGCTAGCGCACGGAGAGCTATTTATAACAAGTCACACAAGGTCTGACACCAATTATCTCGAAGTCCGATGTCGAGAGACTGATACTGCACCAATCGAACGTCAATACTGCACGGCGCACACGACAGTCTGCCGCCCGGCGATGTGACCCACCTGCTGGTAGTCTCGAATGGCCTCATCGAAGAGGTCGTCGTTCAAGTAGGCCTCTGCTCGCTCGCAGTAGATGCGCGGCTCCCTGTCCAGCTCTATGGCCCGTGTGCACGTGGAGACGGCCTCTGAGGCGCCCTCTCGCACCTGGCACGTGCACATACGCTCCAGGCCGCGGTACCGCACCGCCGGCTCTGTCGGCTCGGCGTCCAATACCTGTAAAGGGACAGGGAGTCAGCCGGGGCTCTATGTGTCAGAGAAGCGTGGCGATACGAATGGGGCATGGAAAAAGGGTAGAATGAATGAACGGGATGGAGAGGGAGATAGGGCTGAAAAGAAATCGGAAAAAGAAATTGAGACAAAAGGGTACATGACGGCACAAAAAGCAAAATACGGGCAAGCAGGAATTAATATTGCTGGAACTGGAAGCGCAAGTCTGGTTGAATGGCAACGTGACGTTACGCATAGGACAGCTGACAACATACATGACGCTAGCAACAGAGCTAACATTTAACGGCATATTTTAACGGTAAAAGGCAGGGTACGTGATTCCCGGAGGTCAGTGAAATATCAACCAAATAAAAAAAAACAATAGAGGATCTGGTCACGGACCGGTGTATATGAACGCGTCGTGGACGGGCTGGGGAGGGGAGGAGGGCGGGGCAGAGATGGGGAGGGGCCAGGGAAGGTCGTTGGTCTACCGGACAGGAGCTTTGGCCAAACCGGTCGCCGCGCACGACTGGAATGTGGCCAGCGGCGGCTGGGTTCCGTCAAGGCCGAACTGAATGACACATACATGGCGGATGTCGGGGTCCACTGAGGAAATATCGGCACATTGTGGATACCGAAACAAAACGAACATGGAGCTTCTTGCAGCGGTGCATCGTACATTTGTGAAAAACTCACGAATCAATAGAATGTTCTCTGGAGCTGAAATGATCAAGGAATGCATCACAACGAAAAAGACCTTATCCGATTTTAGTAATGTGCCCAGTTATACCAGCAATCGGTCTAAAGTTTCGAGGATCCTGTACTGGAGGTGCTACATAGCACATTTCAACGACCATCCACCAGATACCCAGCAGCAGCATCATTTTCCCGATCAACCCCTCCCCTTCTACTCCGAAACCGTTAGGAGCTAAATGCTGTCGATCACTGAGCCCTCTGCAGTCACTGAGATCACGATCACCCTCTGCAGTCGGAAACATGAGGACTGTGTTTCACCCGGCCAGACAAACGACCTTCGATAGACCCGCGTCCCATGTCCTCACCTTGCTGGCCGAGCGCGAGCACGAGGCGAAGTCCTCGCGGTCCAGGTGCTCCTGCGAGTTGTCCAGCGCCTTCACCACCTTCTTCACCTTCTTGTAGTGTTCGTGGCACTGCTTGTCGTCCTGGTCCAGCTTCAGACACTCGCGCACCTCGCTGGACGAGGAGCGGGTAGGAACGGTTAGGTACCGTCGCGACAATCACTCTGTCATCGAAGTAATTACATAAGCCCGACGTCACTTCCTTATCCCATCTCATTGTCATGCCTCATCGACAGATTTTATCCTTCCCGGCGTCGTCCGTCCTCAATCGCATTCCATCGATCCATCGTAGCCCATCGATCGACCGTAGCAACTACCCCAGCTGTATCATCAGAACCGCAGGACATCTGTCTGCCCCCAACCAATTCCGCTACTTCATGGCTATCAGATTCAGATCAATCACCAAAGTTAGCCGTCAATCACCGTACAACCACTGGACAGGCCACGTCACCCACCACCCACACGTCCTGGCCCTCACCTGAGCGACTCGTGCGCCTCGCCGAGCCGGTAGTGCAGCTTGGCGATCTGCAGGTGACCGGCCCGGTTATCGGTCACCAGTTTGGTGGTGGTGCGCAGGTCGCTGAGCGCCGCGATCAGGTCACCCACAGCCACGTAGCTGTCGGCGCGCAGCTGCCGCAGCGGTGCCGACCACGAGCACACCTCCAGCACGCGCGAGAGCAGCGCAATGTGCGTGTGGTGGTCGCCGTAGTGGAGCGCCTGCTGCGCCTCGCGCACGTCCGCCCGCACCTGGTCGATGGTCGAGTACGCCTGCAGCGCCTCGGCGTTCGACGGGTCGCGCCGCAGCTGAGGAAGAAGGGGGAAATGGTAACAACTAACAATACAGAAAACATAAATCAAACAACGCGTCGCACAGGCAAAGACTGGGGATGTCACGAGCGTGGTGTACCTAGTTGGACCATTTAATATTCACAGACTTCGAAAACTGTCGACATCCGGCCGTGATATGTAACACATTCAGAAAAAGAAAACCAATGTTCAAAATGTTCAAACATTTATCATATCAGGCATATTGTCATTTAACTTACCACATCCTCAAAGTCGATATGTGCCTCGTCCAGATTTCCCAGTTTGAGGTGGACGTTGCCCCTCTGTAACCTCGCCTGAAAACGAGCAGAGAAAACGTCAATGGATCCGTCCCTGCGTCAGTCATTCTGAACCCAGTAAGCAATTCCCGCACCACTGTGCAATGAGAGACCACCGACTGACGACGCTAGCGTTTGGGAATCGGGCGTCGAGAACAATCGCCTATCGTATGTCAACTGGCTACTGTGACACGTCATCAGGCTTCGGACATCGATAAAACAGCTGGATCCCAGTCCGTTAACAGTTTTAAATGACGAAAAGCTTGATGAAAATCGATCCGAAATAAGGGTACTCAAATTGATCTCGATCAATACGGTAGCGGCTGTACAGTGTACACTGCACAGACGATGATTCAGTGCCTACTTAGCTGACACCTATCGCCGCACGTTTAAACGGAAGTCGGACTCTACGCACAGGTAGACGGTAGACAGGTAAACCGTCTAGATAGACGGTACAGACAGTACAGTGGGGTATACGGTATGGGGGGGGGGGTACCGGGTAGGACACTCACCGCCAGGAAGTCGGGCTTCATCTTGAGCACCTGCTGGAGGTCCGGCAGCGCCTGTTTGGCCTTACCCAGCGCCAGGTAGACGGTGGCCCGACGGTAGTACGACAGGTAGTTCTGCGGGTCGGCGTCTGAAACGGGACGAGCGCCGTCACACATAGGGACCACAGGACGATGCAAAAACAATAGAAACAAACGAAAAAGCAGGCCAATGAACGGACAAACGGAAAGACGGACGGACAGAAGAAATGAAGGACGGACGAACGGGCAGACGGAAAGACCGATGAACAGACGGAAAAGCAGACCGATGGACGGATAACCTTTGAACAAAGGGACAAGCCAAAGGACAAACATGTCAGCAAGCTAACAGGATGCCAGGACAAACAAACTCTCAAACATATGAACAAACAAACAAACACATGGCCCAGTGGGACAAACAGATCAACATCATTCAGACAGACAAATTGTGAATTAAACTAATTAACAGAACTACAGAATAAGAAACACATGTCTTCAGCACCGCTGTTCTCACCAATGGCAGCGTGGAAGTGTGTGAGGGCATCCTGTAGCTGTCCCTGACTCAGCAGCCTCAGCCCCATCTCTAGGTGCTGATCCACGTCAGCAGAACTCAGCGAGGATGTGGCATCTGCAACAGCGTAAGTCTTTGATGACACATGGAGTTTGACACAGTCTGCCAACTGATAGGACCCACATACACTGCCAAGTGTCAGAAGACTACAATTAAAATCAGACAAAACGAAGATAGGGGGCCTGGAAGAATATCAGTATTACGCTCAACTGAACCATCCATGGCATTTACATATAGATAGTATAGTCAAATCAGAATGCTGATCCAGTTCACTAAACCAGGACAGATAGGTACATAGTACTTAGGTACCTACGTAGGTACTACCTAGGTAAGCAGGTACCTAGGACCTTAAGTAAATAAATACCAGTACTTTGGTCTTTGACTGGCTTCCGACCCATTCCAGATACTTACCATTTATATGAATTTCTGCAGCAAGGAAAAATAGCCAAATTGATGCCAAATATCCTTGAAGATGTGCTAGATCTGTCATGTTTTGTACAATTACCTCAATTAACAAACAACCATGTAAAACTTGCAGGTTATCTCACTATGTCCGATTTCTAATGGTGACGACTTTAGGCCACGGATAGGGACTCAGATAACATCAAACATTGCTGCCTAATGAAGCATAGCGAACATGCAAAATCTACTCCTTAGAAGCGCAAGTCGTAACGAATGTAACGAACTTGTAAGTTGTAACGAACGCTCTAACAGAATGTCGTCTTTCGAACCGCACCAACCACCCCAACTTCTGAAACAACACAAATGACCGCGGCCAATCAGCACAGTACGAATACTACACCATAATCGTCTTTTGTCATCCACATATGTGATGCTTGTAATCTGAGCATGAGCCCTAGTAATTCCGGTCGTGGGTTTATTCCATTGGCGCAGAGCTGCTGATACTCCTTTTCATTGGCTCGCGAGTTATACGGTAAATGCTGTTCTCTGTTCTTTCACTTCCTTGTCCTAGAATTAAAAGAAAATGTTTTCATTCATTTGTCTAATTGTTTACAAACCTGACATATATTAGAAGAATATTAAATATTATTTGTTCAATTTATTTTATATTTTTAATAATAAATGATACTTAATTTTAATCACTTTTGTATATTTTAAGCCAATGACATACCACCTGCCGCATCCGGCGCATTTGTCACAACTCCATTGTGCTCTCTCGTATTCTTCTCTCTGTAATCTTCTCTGTCGTCGTTTCAATTGATTTTGGTGAGGGTTAAATATTTTAATTTTTCGGTTGTATGCTAGCTTTCACCTTTGCATGAATGTACGTTATGCTATGACGTCCTTTTAACCCTTTAAACACACGTGTCTGGACAAATTTGGTTTGTTTCGTCTTTCGTCTGCAGACTTTCGTTTGACATTTTTTCGGCACGCTATTTTTCGTCTGTACATATTTTCGTTCAAACATGTTTTGTCTGCATCTTTTCGTGTGTGCATTTTTCCTCCGACATTTTATGCCTGTATTTTTTGGTCTTAATGTATTTTCGTCCAATACGATTTACATCTCCGTACCCACTATTTCAACTCCCAACGTGAAGGTTGAGTGAAAGCATAATGCTATTCGACTGCAGTTGGGGAAACTATGGCAAAATCTGCTATTTTTAGCAGTCTGCTATTTTTGACAGAAATCTGCCAAAAATGGGTACGCATGTGACGTCATCGTACCCAAATATAGCAGATTTGGGTACGGCCCCATACAAAAGCAGATCTACACCCTAATTGAAGCAAATGCGCATCAAATGCCTGGCAGATTCATGATGAGAATAGTGCTGAGAGTGATCTCTGCTATTTTTGTTCAGATCCGACTATTTTCAAATTCATTATTTGAAAATAGTCGGATCTGAACAATAATATCAGAGGACATTCTCAGCACTATTCTCATCATGAATCTGCCAGGCATTTGATGCGCATTTGCTTCAATTAGGGTGCAGATCTGCTTTTGTATGGGGCCGTACCCAAATCTACTATATTTGGGTACGATGACGTCACATGCATACCCATTTTTAGCAGATTTCTGTTAAAAATAGCAGACTGCTAAAAATAGCAGATTTTACCATAGTTTCCCCGACTGACTGTGAGGCAAGTGATGTAATAATTCTAATGGTGAAGCAGAGCAGTGCTGAAGGCAATGCCTTAGGAGAGATTACAGGCAATGGTTAGTCAAATATTAAAGTGGTTATGTATCCGGCTTCAGACTGGCCTTCCCACTGAAATCAACACATTTTGGGACACTGTCTTACTCTTGTCAAATATTAGTTACTTAGCTGAGATGGTGCCTGAGAGATTTGTAATTAACAATGGTGGAAAGATCAGAGAATCCTTCAGATTTCATCACTGTAAAATTGTATGTGGATCTTAGAAACTGACCATAATAGTGAAAAAGTCCTAAGCCGTAATTTTAGGCACTTTGCTTCATGTCTTATAAGTTTCCTTAATATTTTGCTACCCAGCAGCATGTACCGCCCTCCAGGTAGGTATTTAGTGGTTGGTTGCCAACATCACAATAAGCGATCTGCATTGATGAATACGTCTAATGGCTGTTGAAAACCTTTGCCGATGTGTGTGCACGAACCCTCTTCTCATTTCTATTGAGTCATATTACAGGTGTGTCTCTGTCATTCAAAGTTATTACACCAAAAGCACATAGGCTAACCAACCACTCTTTTGCTGGAGGGCCGTACAGGCTGTCTGCCTCTGCTGACCTCGGGCCACTCTGGCAGGTGATGAACAGAGGCCGGGGCGGACGCGGAGGACGGGGTCGCGGCGGGCCGGCGGCCCCGCCGCACCTGATGCACGGTGTGCCGCCGCTGCGGCTCAAACCGGGCCGCGGCCGCTCGCCGCGCGGTCCGGTCCGGGGGCCGCCGCGCGGCGCGGGCGCGCCGGCACCGCGGCCGCAGCCGCTGCTAGCGCCGCTGCGCCGGCCCCGACCGCTGGTACCGCCGCAGCAGCTGATGTCCCCCGTGGCGCCGCGGCCGCGCTACCCACCGCGCTCCGCCGCGCCGCGACCCTTCTACGACCCACCGGCCCTGGACGACGGCGGGGCGTACTATGAGGAAAGCGGTCAGTACTATGATGAAGGCGGAGAGTACTATGAGGAGACTGGCACGTACTATGAGGAGAGCGGAGAGTACTATGAGGATGGCGGGGAGTACTATGAAGAGACGGGCCCGTACTATGAGGAGGGCGGAGAGTACTATGAGGAGACTGGCCCCTACTATGAGGGGAGCGTCCCGTTCCACGACGGGGGTGCTCCATTCCGCGGTATGGGTGCTCCGAGGCGAGTCAGGGGTGCTCCCATGAGGGCTAGGGGCTCTCCCATGCGAGGAAGGGGTGCCCCCATGCGGGGTCGAGGCGCTCCGATGCGGGGCATGGGTGCTCCGATGCGGGGCATGGGTGCTCCGATGCGAGGAATGGGTGCTCCGATGCGGGGCGCAGGCCCTCCAGTCCGCGGGAGAGGCGCCCCACTGCGGGGCAGAGGAGCCTCAGCGCGCGGCGCGGGCACCCCGGTTCGGGGCAGGGGCGCCCCGGCGCGAGGCAGGGGTCGTGGCCGTGGAGCCACTGCGGCCAGCACAACTCCCCAGTCCAAGACACCAAAGGTACAGAAGAAAACATCCAAAACTGAAAAGGTGAGAACCATTTAGAATTACGTTGGATTTTTATGAGGCGCTTGAGTTGTTTGAAAATAACCTTGCTTATTTAGGTTGCCGGTGGATTTTTTTTTTTCATTACGGAGCGAGCGAAGCGAGCGGAGTCTTTCCTTAGATTAACGGAAATTTCTGAGTATGAGCGGCCGGCCGGCCGGCCGTGGGGACGCTCTTCAAAAGCTAATATCTTAGGAACGGGACATCCGATTGACAAGCGGTCTTCTTTACTGAATGTCACTTGGACGTAAAAGTTCTGTGGTGTGATGGCCACCATGCGTTCTTGCCAACCACCGCACGTGGCGCGTGGTAAAGTTGGACATTTTTTAAGAACCCCCAAAATTGCAACCTCAATAACGGCACAACGGTTGGGCCGATTGAATTGAAACTCGGTACACAGTTAGGTCTCCATCAGATAATTCATCTGCATGTGTTAAGGTTGGGGTGCTGCTGCACGTGCGCACGTGCAGGGGTCGTTTCCAGATCTCGAGAACGGCTGGACCGATGGCGCTCAAATTTGGTACACGGTTAGGGACCAGTTAGTAGGGTGCCGTGCACAAGTCAGTTGGGACCCATTTTGCACGTGCGCACGTGCAGGGTGCCGCTTCCAGATCTCGAGAACGGCTGGGCCGATTGTGCTCAAATTTGGCACATCGCTAGAGACCGGTTAGTAGGGTGCCGTGCACAAGTCAGTTGGAGGTACCCCCTCGAAATTTCGCACGTGCAAGGCCCACCCTCTCGCTCGCTCCGTTAGTCGCCCCATAAGGCGTTATACTGGTTGTAATCTGATTATTTTTTCCTCTTAGTATTTTTCTGGCTCATTATTGTTTTTATTTTTGTAGACTTTTAGAGTTATTGTTTTGTGGGATTGGCAATGGTTTTGGATCATTGCTTTCACTGCATCTGATTTGCACTGTCCTGTAGTGTACTGATGACCTCTTGGCCGTGGTATATCCCGAAACTCCCCTGTGACCCTCCCGAAACTCCCTTATGACCCTCCCTCCCGTCCCTCAGGAGCGGGACGCCGGTGACCTGCTGAAGCCGTGGGTCACTCCCGAGCTGCGCGCCGAGATCGAGAAGAAACAGAAGATGCACGAGGCCTCGCGCGAGTCGGGCGACGCCAAGGACTTTGAGGCGTTCAAGGAGCAGCGCAACAAAGTGACTTCCATGATGCGAGCCGCCAAAATGGAGTATATCGGCATGCACGACGAGGAGGTGAGAGAGGCTGGGTGATGGGGGAGGGGAGGGCACCGCTGCCGCTGTGGTCCTGCGGCAGAGAAGTTGGCTTCGGTAACGATGATGCCTTATTACCTGAAAGTCAGGAAGGTTACCTTGAAATTCCAATTGTACGTAGAGTGATATAAATTGGGGCCTTCTTCTATCGGATAATTTAGAGTTGGCAGAAGGGAAGTCTATTCGGCTCTACTCTATGCGTGCAGAAAGCTATCGATGATTCCTCATTTGAGAGTAGAATGTTCGACGTTCCATTTGTGTTGCTATCTCATACATCCCATAACTTTGCGAAGCTCTTCAGAGTTTGTTTTCAAAGTGATAGCTTCCGTAAAATGTGCAATGTTTCGTTCGACCCATTTTTTGCTTATTTGTTCTAGGCGTCTGCATTCTGCATAATGCATTTTCATCGGCCATTTAGTATCTGAATGACCGCCCTTGTCCTTTGTTCATGCAAATTTAGACATTTATTTTTATGGTGCCGTATCATTTACGGTACATAAAATTCCCGGAAAGGGGTTTGTTCGTTTATACAATCTTATCGCAAGCTACGCTCGATACATTTTCACATCTGACTTTCTGTGCCCTCCAAACGTTGCAGGACATTGGCAAAATCATGGCGGAGGCTGGCGTAATGCAGGCGGCTAAATCTGCCGACTCTAAAACAGAGCCCAAAGCCGCCGAGCCCGCGGCGGCTGGCGTTAAGACCGAGCCAAAGGCCGAGCCAAAGTCTGAACAGGACACGAACGGCTCCAAGGCAGAGCAGCCCGCCGAAAACGGCGCGGCGGCCGAGCCGGCGGCCGCCTAGGGCTCCGCTCGTGGCCGGGAGGTGTCTGACCCGGCCTCCCAGTGCCCCGTCTCTGTAGCGAGCCGCGACCCCTGACCGGTCACACGGCCGGCGGAGTCACCGCGCGGGGCGGGGACCGAAGGGACGGTACAAACTGAGTCACAATGGGATACTCGCTGGCGGTCTGCTAAAACATCGGCACTGGTGACCAGCCATGCCACTGTGTTCATACATGTCATCAAACCCATCAAATCGTGGTAACGCTGGGACCTTAACCAGCCACTACGCAGACAGCGGGGTGGAAGTGCGCTAGTGCTCGGAGAAGGCGAACTATTTAACCCGCGCTGGCGGACACGGGCGGAGCGCTGTGTCCGTCGGTGACGGGTCGCGCGACCGCGAGTACTTACGGCCCTCCCTAGTGTTGAGTATTACCATTGTGCCCCCAACCGGATCGTCTCGGCGCGTTTGTGTCACGGGGTGCCTGCGCGTGGCCCCGTCCCCGGCCCTCCGCGGCCTTAACGGTCGCGGCGAATACTGCTAGTACAACCGGACGTCGCGAGGCGGCGCTACGGTCGCGGGCGTGTGCAGCACTGCTGAAAAGGCACCACCATCAAGCCATTACCATTTGCCGTATTTATTGGCTAATGTCGCGATCGAATGCACTTTCTTACCGTAATCATTTTTCTCATTGATTGACAATTGTATCTACCGCGAGAATTTCAAGTCCAAAACGACGGGTGCGTAGTTTTAGTGGAGCTGACCATTGCATTTGTGGCCCCGTCGGCCCCGGCAAAACCGGGTGACGCCGGCCGAGCAATGTCCGCGCTCACAGCTGCATTTCTCAGTGTACATTCGAGGCTTCATTGTGTCCATGTCTGTGTCGCGCTGTCTTAGAGAATAAACGGTGAGGCGCCGGCCGCCGAGGCAGCGGTCGGCACCGCGGCCCGTCCCCCCTGTATTGATCGGTGCGAGTAGGGAGTCTGGGAGGACCGAGCTGCTATCGCTCGGTCCAGCGCCGCGCACCACCGCCAGCCCGGCAGTAAGTTGCACGCCGGTCGCACAGCGACTGGAGCCCTCTCCCGTCTGTTTCCGATCTGTCCGGACCCCGGATACAGTTATGTGTTCAATGTCCCCTGTGTCATGGATCGTGGCACTCATGCTATGCCTAAAAACGCGGACAAACGTTATCAAAAATAATAATCACTAAAAACATCTCCGCTGATCCGTGGTTCTCATCCCCTAAAGGGCCGCGTAAATAATATGGTGGGACCCGCTAAATTTTCGGTACCGCATGTAAATTGTAAGGGGCTTCAAAGAATGATCAACATTCAACATTCAATTTGTAATCGCTTAAAAAAAAAATCATTTTACAGCGGTTTGAGAAATAAGCCCTTATTCGGACTAGAGGTTGGAGCGGTAAGTTTTCAATTGAGCCGTCCCGCTGGTCCTGTATCAGTGGCGGGGTTGTGACCGGGACAACCGGTATTCCAGAGCAGCGCGCCTGCCGGCTGACCTGACCTGGTCTATGACCTGAAGAAGCAACACTTCCAACGGAGTTCGACGCTGAGCGGCGGCGTCAACTGACGGCTGCCACGCCGGGGTGAGTTTCGCTTCGCTTTGGATGCTGCTGCTGGAATTTGAGTGACCGTGGATGAAGCCATGTTGGTGTGCAATGTTGTGAAGGCAAGTAGTTAGCTGTGTGGTTTTGCCTGTCAACTGTACCGTGTACACTGTCTTTTGTGGCAGACACTTGGGCCGGTACTACCTGTCCCGTTGGACGTAAGCTCCTCTGACTCGACTCTTTCTGCCCCGACCGGCAGGCTACAGAACCTATCGGCTGCGGCGATTCCTTCCGCTGGAAGACTGACTCGGCCGGAGACCACCACCGAAGGTCAGCGAATTGGGGCTGGTCCGTGAAGGGGGTCCGGCAACATCGACAGTTTCGCCATACAGGACCGTCTGACCCCACCCTCCCTCTAGAGGCCAGGAGTAGCATCAGCTCCCTAGAGCTCGGAAGGGGTGCTCGGGCGGCGGGCGAGGCTGCCCGATGCCTGCCGCACTGCTGCAGTCCGCCGCCCCTCCAAGACAGGGTCTCCTCCCGTGTTTCACGGAGAGTGCAGAAGTTAAGAGAATGATATTGAGGCCGGCGGCAGGTGTGGTGCAAGATGCGGCAGTTTTGAGATCGCAGAAGGATGGTGCAAAGAGAGACGAGATCATTGAGAGAATATGGCGCAAGGCCCACAGTGACATCGGCGTACTGATTAGCCCTCTGAGCTTGATTTGTAATACACGTCATAACATCAGCAATAGCATTTTCCCTTAACTTTATATGAATAAGAAATGGGCAAATTATGCACGGTGCATACTGCATAGGTACCCCTCTAGTCTCAAGGTGACTGTTCGCTACATCGATAATCTGCTGGTGCCCGCCCGTACTGTCCCTCCCAGCCTCCCATTCCCCCCTGCTCCCCCTCTCAGTCGCTCGGCAGTCTACTCCGCCCCGTCTCCGCTGTCAGTCCGGCGGTGGAATCATCCCCTCCCGCCCGGCCTTGCGTGCGGCCGGCAGTTGCACGCCCAGCATTGGGCGTTACATTTCGACAATGAACTGCTCGTAAACGGCCATTTTGCGGCTGTAACAGTCGCCGAAATGGCTGTAAGTGCGCTCAGAGCAGTGCTGGAGGACCACCTTCGGTTTCGGAGACGGCAGCCAGTCAGCTCGGGGTAGTGGAGAAGAATGCTAATAACGGCTGACACGGAATGGGATGTTCTGAGGAGGACGCTCATTTGCCCCTTCGCTGTAAGGCTACTCGGTTTCAAAATTTAAATATCAGCAATAAATACTGGTTAACCACTACCTGCAAATTCATCTTTTTGCTGTTGTCTCGCCGTTCTTCTTCCCTCCTAGTTCGTGTCCCGGCGTGACATCCTCAGGAGCGTAGGTCGGAGTACGGACTGGCTACAGTAGCCGGTTGCTGCACGAATCTCGATGTCTCTCGTCAGTTAATGACACCGGGACGGTCGCCCGCTCGCTCTCAGTCTGTAGGTAGCGGGGCGTCGGTCCGCGTGTGTGTGTGTAAGTCGGCTAATCCGTCCCCCTAACGACGCTGCGGTCCATTAGCGCCCGTTAATTGGTCGTTAGGTGGCGCCGCTCAGTCATATATCACCTCGGGCGCGGCGCCCCGGGCCGGTGCCGCGGCGGTGAGCCTTTCAGGCCGCACCGTGTACGCAGCTTTTTCGGCAGGGGATTAGCGGCAGATGAGAGCGGTGTTGCGCGCGATCGACTGTTTTTATCGGAGATGGTCCGCGGCGGCGAGATAGTCTGTTTGGGACGGTGAGACGGGCCGATATTCAGACATTCGATCCGCTGGCGCGTCAGTCCCTCTCTCACCCCCTGTCAGAAATGGACGCCGATGGGGTGTCATTAGACACATTGGTTGGTGTTTTTGTGGTGACGCTTAAGGTGATAAGCCGGGTGGAAGTCGTCGTTGGATGCATTTGTCTCTTAGGCCGCAGCTGATCTACCCACGTCTCGTAAAAAGTGAATCTGCTGGCCTACCTGACTGAATCTTTTTTCAAGAGACGTTCCCATTTGGCTGGGACCGCCATTCGTTCTCTGAGACTACCGTAGTTATTATATCTCCTAACAAATCGATGTGCGGCAGCTGAGGAAACCCTTTTCTTTTTTGTTCCACTCTTATTTAGCTCGGGGCGCCCTTCGACGGCCTTCGGAGGCGTCCTGACTCCTTTGAGTCGACCAATTACCGTCTGTGAGGACTCGGGTCGGCCGGCGGTCGCCGCCGACCGCAGTGTAATTGGGCCGGGGGACGGTGCGCCGGTGCGCGCGCCCGGTCGCACGCCCGGGGCCCGTATATTACGGAGAGGTGTGGAGTGTGGACTGGTCACGGCGGCGTCCTCACTGAGATAATCAGCCCGGAGTCGGCCCAGGCACCTGCGGTCGCCGCGGCGCTGACAAATGGACCGGTCGGCCGGGTCGGGAAAGGGTTCGTAGGCCGGTCTCTCGACCTTGGCCACTTCCCCTGGTCGGCTCCGGCTGTGGAGACGAAGCCAACCTGAGCTGTAAAATGGGCCGGAGCAGGGAAGGTCCTTTGTGCTACCATGGCTAGGACATGTTTCGAATGTTACGTCGAGAGAAGTCTTCACACTCTTGGGTGCTAGGTGAAAACAGAATCCGAGGTGTAAGCTAACTTCCCTTTATCTTAGCTATTTTCTATGATGTTTTATCATTCAGGGACGGAGTTCAGTGTTGTTGCATATGACTGCACGGATGCCAAGTAAAGCTGACCCTTAACCCGCGCCCCACTGGGGGGGGGGCTATTTATAGCCCCCCCTCCCGTTTTTCTGCAATAACTTCCAAACCGCTTGACGGATCGACGCCAAACTTACAGTACCTTTGGCTGCATCAATTTGACACCTTGTGTCAAAATTTGAACTTCGTAGCTACCATAGGTCGGCCGGAAATGACGTCAGAGTGACGTCATGTTCGGCCGATTTCGACGCAAAACATTGAACCACGGCAATCGCTCCCAAGAGGTCAGTTTTTAAGCTAGATCCAATTTCTTTGCATGAAAGGACTCAGAATTGACAGCGCTATCAAACTGCTATCTCGAATTTTCAAAATTTTGAAAATTTCGAAAATTTGATATAATAATATTCAAAATTTGTATTTTTATATTTTTTTCAAAAAGTTTTTGACTTTTCGAAAAAACCGGAATATATGTGACAGAACGCATGATTATGACTAACTCTAGCAAGTTTTAGCTAAATATCTTCAAAAATGGCCAAGTTATACGCATTATTGCAAAAAATTCACAATTATTAATTTTTCAAATCAATTTTTCAGTACGTATTTGACATCGTACACCAATATAAATGGCACCATCGTGTTCCTGAGCTCAAACTGCATCCAATAGACACCTTTTTTGTTGAAAAATTTTAACTTCAAAATTTGACCTTTTTTGACCTGAAAGTGACCTGACCTAAGCTAAATTCGACTCAAAATGACCTCGAATGACACAGACGACATCAAATTCGAAATCTATGGCCTAAATGGACCATAAAACATGTGTCACGTGACCGACGCATGATAAAATATTTTCGTGACCTGTGATGACCTGACCTTGACCTGAAAATCAAAGTAAAAGCTTGGTACCCTCAGGGTATCTAGAGCATCTGTTTAAGAGTGTGTGTACCAAAAATGAGCCTGATCTGACTTGTAAGACGGCGGCCAGAGCCCAAAATGTGAACAAGCCAAAATGCTAATAATTTTTACTTTGACCTGACCTGTGACGTCATCGGTGACCTCGAGGTCAATGAAATTAGGTTTCGCTCGACAGTTTTTCCGGGGCTATCAGACGCCGTTTGAATTTTGACGATCGGCCCAGTAGTTTCGGAGTTAGGAGGGGGGGCTATGAATAGCCCCCCCCCCCCCCCCCCAGTAGGGCGTGTTATACACAGACCCCAGTGGGGCGCGGGTTAAATCACCTTCAGTGAACTCCACCGCGCCTGACCGGGCGTCGCGATATCCTAGCAGGGGCTTTTTGTCTGCGTCCTGACGCTATCCGGTTGTCGGGCGTGCCCGCCACATACCTGACCGGCCACAGGTCCCGCGTTACCCTTCCCCTCAGCACCGCCGCCCATATCAATTAACACCAGCCGGGCGTCCCGCAGTAAAAACAGGACCCGTCGCCGCCGGCCGGGTCGGGCCTACTCGGCGTCTCTGCCGACCGCCCCGCGATGGTATGGACAGTGGACACCCCTCCCTCCCCTCCCCTTTGTAATGACCGGGCGCACGTCAATGAAGTCGGCCGATCGGGGCCCGTCGGAGTGGGCGGCCTCTCGGCTTCTCGGCGTGACGGAGTCGCCGCCGAGGGGAGCCAGCCGGGCACGGTGGGACCGGCGCCCGAGCCGCCCCGAGGAGAGCCAATAGAC